CCTTGGTCCAATAATCGATAAAAACTAATTGCATTTCCCATCTACACAAAACAACCTAATCACTCGTATCTTTTTTGAGGTATGAATACAAATCATCTCCTCTGCCACTTCTGTTGCCAAATCTGATAGAAGCCTTGCCATCAACTTTAGGTTCTTTATCGTCATCACCAGACCATAACGGATCTTCTTCCTTTTCGATAACCGAGTCTTGCACTACTTCGATTTCTAGGCTGTCATGCAGCGCCTCCCGCAAAATAGCTGTGGCGCTATCTATGACCTTCCTTTCCTTTCTGCTGGCTCCCCTATCACTTCGCATAGTCCAAATTGTTTTACAAGATATGCCAGCACTACTTTTCGACACAATATGTTCGAGTGGTGGTAAACGTATAGATGTCAAACTATAGGCCATTCAAGGATCGTGAAAGTTCACACAATCACGACCGCTTCGCGCGTAGCATTAGCTGCCAATTAGCGTGAGCTAATTGGCTCTAAGCCAAACCTGTTAAAATCTGCTGTAACTGCATGTTCTATCAAAAAGGTACGTTTTTCACGAAATTTCTACTTATTTTCAGTTTTTCTTTTTTATTTTAGATGCAAGAGGGAACACAAAATGAGGTGAGTCAAAAGTTTATTTATATTTCGGGAACTTCCACCGTTTATTTTTCAGCTAAACTTTGTTGAAAGTGTCAGCCCGTTTTAGTGCTATTTATGAAATTTTCATTGATTACATGTATTTATCTATTCATTCTACTAACATTCTGTAACTGCAAGTGATCATAAAATCATGTCAATTACAAGTAGCCACACGAGTTTCATGTTATATAAACAATAACGTCACGGGGATATTTAGTATGGTTGCAATTCTGAGGATAGCCAGAAAGATTTGTTAGCAGAGCCGTTGTATTTCAAATTTGAAGATTACATATTGATTTAATTCATATTAAAATTACAGAAATAAATATCCAAAAGAAAAACTCACTGAATCATGTCGTGGCCGTTACTCTGTAAATCTAAATGAAAAAAATGTTGGAACTTTCATTCTCCTCTGCTTTGAAACACCGCAGAGCACGATATTTAACCAACTTTTGAAAGCGCTTTGAAAGCCACAACATCAAGGGAGTCACTACTCATATAGAACCGAAGGTGAGTAACCAAAAGAAGCGCTTGTAAAACATATAAGACGACGTAGAAGCTATAACTCGGACAGTAAATGAATGAAAACAAAAGAAACATAAAAAAACATGAACACTGAGGATTGCATGCACATGTATACTAAAAATTATAAGACATAAAAAACACGCTTATCAGTAATGTGATGCATGGGAAGCAAATCTGAAATAAGGGGCGGCGGTCATTACTTGTGAGTGGCAATAATGCAAGTATCGCGCGCGGCAATTCACACCATTA